AGAGAAAGAGCGAGAGAGAAAGACAGGGAGAAAGTAAAGGGGAGAAAGAGAGAAAGGGAGAGAGAGGGGGGAATGCTCCCAGCTGGTCAACAGATAACAGATAATCAGAGTCAGAAGGGACCTTGTAGGTCATCCAGTCCAACCCCCTACCTAAGCAGGAGACCCTACACCATTTCTGACAAACAGCAGTCCAATCTCTCCTTGAAAGTCTCAGGCGGCGTCGCCTGCCACCCTGCTCTCCCCTCACCCCGCCCTGGGCAGCCCCCTCCCCAGCGGCACCTTTTTCCCCCTCGGGGGCCACATACCCTTTGGTTTTGCAACTCAAAAGAAACAGGGCAGCGGCCGATGTGAATGACGGTTTCCACGTCAGCTCTCCAAAGAGGGGAGAGGGGAGGGTCTTGACTTGGGAAGAGGGTGGGGATAGGAATCAGAGGCCACTCGGGTGGGCCAGCTAGGAACACGAATATTAAGCAGGGGGTGGGATTCTACTGGTTCAACCCGGTTCTAAACTATTCTGTGCAGTTCGGGGAACCAGCAAATCATGCCTGTGACTGGCCCCGCCTTTCCCTGCCCCTTTGCTCCCTGACCGGTCAGTCCTTACTGACATCGCACGCGTGCCCAGCATCACTGACTAGGTCCTCCCCCGCCCAGCCACTCCTCAAGGCATTTCTTTTTTTCCCCTCCTCCCAACGATCAGCTGTTCCGACGATCGGCTGTTTGCTGGAATCCCCCTCGCTGTCTTACTGCTTCTCCCAGGGGGCTTCCCTGAGGCCCAGGAGGCCAAAAAACGGGGAGAGGGGAGGGGGCTGCAGAAAAAGAAGAAGAAGCCACACCCACCCAGTCACATGGCCACGCCCACCTAGCCACACCCACAGAACCGGTAGTAAAACTATCTGCGTCCTCGCCTCTGACGTGAAGGGAATCCCTGTGGACCCCGGTACTGCCGGGACACTGCAAACTGTCGAGTTCATTGCCAAGTGCCATTTTCAATCAGCTTTAAGCCTTTGTAACTCATGACAGCATCTGA